TTGTCTTCCGTTTCCAGATGAGAACGACATCTTGTTTCTTTTTCCAAAAGTATCATTATTCTGTGCTTCAAAACTACTATTCTAATCTTCAGGATAAGATTCTAACTCTTCTCCAAGTAATTTTTCTTTAGTAATCGTAATTTACGAACTTCACGTTTGACAATATCAATTGAATTTGTAAAGGCTCCAGTTTTGTATCCCTTTCGTGTCTGCCACAATTCTCTTTGACCCGCAGACAACATAAACCTACTATTATTTACTCGTGTATCTTTAGCTACCTAATTTCCCTCCTAGTACGATCTAACCTCGTTCATTAGATTTATAGCCCAGGTGATCAGACAAAGAAGCATGTCAACTTCTACATCGTAATTGGTCGGTGCCTACTGTCAGCCTCATGAGCTTTTTTACTTGCCGCCACGAGCTTTTCCTAGGTCGGTGACGGGTCTGTGCTCACGAGAATGAGTCCCCAAAGCCCACATCTTCTGTCTTCTTTCATTCGTGTGTTCCGTTAAAGTTCTTCTACTCGCTCTCTGTCACTTATCCGTCTTTTGGGACAAATGGAATCGGGGACCTGTAGTTCTAATAAACTGCACGTCTTTTCGAGCAGAGTTTTTTTAACCCTCCACCATAGTATGGAGGATATATTAAGTTTGTCATTCTGTTTGTAACACCTCGAAATATGCATTTATGCAATATGCAAAGTATTCTTGACCAGCATAAAATTCTATGTCGATTTCCGATTTCCGTCCGTCCATCCGCCTGTCCGTCTGTGGAAATAACTCTAGCTTCCGAACGAAATGAAGTACATTCATAAAATTTTACTCAAATGTATATTATGGGTCCACGTTTTGGCATAGCCCCCATATAACGGTACCCCCGGATATTCAGTATTTTGGTGATTTTAGCGACATTATTCACCGGAATTGTTTCAAATTTTGTATTTGAAGTTCGTAATGGATACTACAGCCTAAGACAGAAAATCGTCTCTGCATTTCCACGTCTTCGTATAGCCCCCATATAACGGTACCTCCGGATGTTCGGTATTTTGATGATTTTAACTACATTATTGACCGGAATTGTTTGAAGTTTGGTGTTTGAAGTTCGTAACGAATACTACAGCCTAGAACAGAAAATCGTCTCTGCAGGTCCACGTCTTCCTATAGCCCCCATATAACGGTACCTCCGGATATTCGGTATTTTGATAATTTTTAACGATATTATTCACCAGAATTGTTTGAAATTTGATATTTGAAATTCGAAATGGGTGCTACAGCCTATGACAGGAGGTTGTCTGTTCAGATCCACGTCTTCGTATAGCCCCCATATAACGGTACCTCCCCATATTCGGTATTTGAATGATTTTATCTACATTATTCACCGATTTATTTTTTTTTAAATTTTCGAAAACATCGACTCATTTGATGTGTAGCTTAACCTCGTTTCAACGAAGACTACAATTCAAAAAAGTTCGTTCAACTCTCTACACTAAGCAGATTATCTCTTCAAGAACGTAATCTATATTAAATTCAGCTTCTCCTTTTCTTCAAAAAAAATCTCTGGTGTTCTTCTATAAAGAAAACATGCAGTTCTTCTTAAATGCAATCATTAAGAACAATATTCTGTTTTGTTTACCAACAAAAACCAGAAACCAGGAACGTCATTAATTAACAGAGAATTAAAACCACAACAAAAATCAAATAAATTAATTAAGAAATACCTACCAAAAAAAAAAAGCAGCAAAAATAGAAAGCAAAACAAATCGACAAATTTCAACAATTATTTGTTTGGCCCTGACGACGGCGATTACTACGGATACGATTATTACGGAGATGCGCTAAATGCTAACAAATCATTCGGAAGCTGAGGCGACCACGTATTTTTGTTTATAATCAGGGGATCAGACTTTCAAGTATAAAGAAATCAAAAATTATCGATTTTTAAATTAAATATTGGTATTTTAAATACTGTACAACTTTTTGAAGTCCTTAACCTATTAATGTAGATACATTAATCACAAATTTCCCATGTGATGTGAACCGCCCTTTATGATTGTCAACTACCTTCGTTTTAATTTATGACCACATAACGTTGTCATGCCAAGTCAATTACCTTCTTCTTCATCATACGTTCCTTCCTTCGTTCATTATTCTTATTGACAAATCAAATACAAAATAAAGATGCAGGGTACGTTCGTTTCTGCTGCTCTCTAGTCATTGTTTATCTACAATGCGAAATAAAAAAAACACGAATAAAAGTAAACAAATAGTCACTCACTGACGATGACCAACGTCGTTTTTGTATTTCTTTCTTGTCAATTTCATTCTCAACATCAACAACATCAGACCAGGCAAGACTACATCAACGAAAGTACGAAGAGCATTAAACTTTTCGCCACCAAAGCCGAAGGTCGTTTGAAAAGAAAGCATGGCGTTCATTGAGAGCAGAGAGTAGAGCAGTGAAAAGCAAAAAATCAATTGAGAGAATAGGTGTTTAGGGAGAAATTGAAAAGAGGTCAAACACCCCATCCAATTTTGAACAACATAGACATAAAAATAAAAATAAGGTTGTTCTAAATAGATAAAATATGAAAATGTTTTTTTTTTTCTATATGGGTATTAAACAGAAAATATGTTTTCAAAATGTTTTCTATGGGCAAAAGAGTCTATGTTGCGAGACTTCTGTAGATAGGCAATTTAGTGACTCATTTTAAATGGAGTGGAGTATTATCAAGAAGCACGATTCCAAAGGGTTTCCTTTAGGGATTTCTATTGAGATCCGCCGTAGCTTCCGTATTCCACTAAAAATGGATCACTGAGAGATTGATTCATGAAAAAGGAACCTATGGACGAGACTTTCTTGCATTAGTCGCAACACAAATTTGACTAAAATTTTTCTGGCACGCACTAGGAATGATCTACCCAAATTCGAGTCGAAACTGTACCGACAATCTAAAAACAAGCAGTTTAAAAAGTGTCAGTCGGTTTTGCCGACATATGTACAAACTCAGTCTATGTCAGTTTATAAAATATGTTTTGACTTATATTATGATTATTCAAAATGTTGACTCTTTATGGAGGAGATAACGAAGGTATAGATCTGAACTAACTTTAATATACACGGTGAGATAAAAAAACTGCAACAAAGTCAAACGCCATAATTTTAATTTTTGTTTTTAAATTTTATTGAATAATTTTATAATAAGTTTAGTTTTGTTCGATTTGGTCACCTTTGGCACGAATTATGGCCTTCAAACGGCCAATGAAACCTTCACACGCTGTCTGAATGTTGCTCTGCGATATTTTGGTCCATTCCCGGCGAAGCGCTTGCTTAAGGTGATCGACACTTTGGTATTTTTTAGTGCCAACCTTGCTTTCCAAAATATACCAAATGGTCCGACCTCTACTATCTTTATAACAGATCTTCTTATAAAGATCTGACCCTTTGTGTGGGAGATACCAGATATATCCCATCTTGAGATCAGATCTTGTATTAATAGAATTAATGGGATGTGTGAAATATGAAGAAAGCCGGATGCTTATTTCAGATTTTATAACCTTTTTGGTTATTCAAAACATTGACCCTTTGTGGGGGAGGTACAAGAAAGAATGGTCGGATCTCTACCATCTTCATTACAGATCTTGTGTTAATGGAAATGTTGTGATGTTCAAAGTCTTTATGAAATTGCTTCATGGATATTCAAAATTTTGACCCCTTGTGGGGCAGGTACCAGAAGCAGTGGACCGATATATTCCAAATAGTAGGATTTTCAATGTTGGAGCAAAATCGGATAATTCTTTTTCTTTCTGTGCAGTAAAATATTTTTTTGAAAATTTCGACTTTTTGTGGGATATCGTCCATCTCCGAACTCGATCTAAGTATAATAATATTATTACGATGTAGTCTAAGTTTGGACCAATTAGGTACCAGCCAGACAGAGTGACATCGCGAAATCGACTCCAAATGTCGTAAAACGGATTTGGTTCAAAGACACCTAGGGTCTAAAATCGTTATTTCGATTAAACACCTTTTGGCCGTATCCAATGATATGGCTGAGGGTATGTCAAAGTAATGTAAACCTTTAAAAATTAAAAAAAAATATATATATTAATGTATTCAAATTTGATCGCTAAGGAATAAAATGAAATTGAAAAAAAATAATTGTAACTCGTATAAAAACATCTAAGAAATAGTTGAATTCAATGTTAACCAAGAAACGACAGGGAGTTTAAACTAAAAAACCTACGATTTACATCCCCCAAGGAACGAAATGTAAATCTTAACAAATAAAACATAGTAGTTGTATTCAAAGATGATTTTCAAGGAACGGCAAGGAACTGTCGTCCATAACAAATTAAAAAAATTATTCAATTTAAAGCTTCGAGGAACAACACGGAATTGATACAAAAATCTTATTTCTTTAGAACCAAAATTAAAAAAGTAAATTTCATTCCACTTAGGTATTCAAGGAATAAAATGGAATGGAACAAGTAAATGTTGATTCTCATGGAACGACATGGAAATCAAACAAATAATTGTAAATCCTCAACATGTGAAACAATAACCGTTGTATTTATTCTATGTTAATATTGGAGGAACGAAATGGAATTGAACTAAAAACATAAATCCTTGCGACAAAACAAAAATTAATAAAAAAAAATTAATTCCACTTTGCTATCCAAGGAACGAAATGGAATGAATCGCCTAAACGTATTTTTTTGTACGAAATGGAATTTGATTTAAAAACATAAATTCTTCCGACAAAAAATTAAAAAAAAATAATTTTAATTCCACTTTGGTACCCAAGGAACGAAATGGAATGAATCGCCTAAATGTAGTTTTTAAACCAATTCAGAAAATACTAATTATGTTCAATAGTGTTCCTCAAGGATCGAATAAATCCTTTAAAACAAAAAGTAATATCATTCCAAGTTGTTCCCACCTCCCCCCCCCCCGGGGAACGTAATGGAATTAAAAAATATAATTCCAAATCTTTTACTTACTTTTCTTTTTCTGTTGTTCCCTCTGTTTCATATCCTTGTTGATGATTTTCACACACGTTGCTGCTGTTGACATTGTTGTTGTTGAAATTGAAGCTGAAGATATTTTGCCGGTGGTGGCGGCGGCGGATGACGTTACCGTTGCCACCGCCTCGGCAACGACCAGCGTTGCTGCTGCTGTTGTTGTTTTCTTGTTAGCTAATTTAGAATCGGCACGTTTAATTTTCGGAAGTTTCGTTAACGATTTATTTAAAACTTTGTCGATTTTATCAGATTTCTTAACGGATTGTTGCGGTTGCGACTGTTGTTTGTTGTGTTCCCCTTTTGGCGTTTCATTGGAGGCATTTTGTTCCTTTGTTGTTTCATTTTCCATTGTTGTTGTAGCTGTTTTTGCAGTTTCTGAGGTAGTCGGTTCAGCATTGACATTATCCTTTGGCTGATTGCAGTTTCGAGGAGGACTTCCTCCTTGTATGGGTGGAAAATTATGTTTGCTGTTGGTCCATATGCCCCCGTGGCTGAAGATGTTATTTTGTAAAGGTGATCGCGAATGATTCATCATCATGCCGGGTGGTGGGGGATTGTAAAAGTGACGCGGCCCAGCCTGGTGGTGATGTTGCTGCTGCTGATGATGGTGGTGGTGATAGTAGGAAAATCCAGACCTTTGTGGCGGAGATTGCCCCATAAATCGGGGAAAATTCATCATTTGTCGCATATGATGATACATGGCATTGGGATGGCCATGGGGATGTGGTGGTGGTGGGCCACCCATAAAATGAGCCCCTCCCGCGCCTCCAGCACCACCTGGTATCATCATGTTGGGTGTGGCAGGTTGGCCACCATTGCCGGGTACAAACATCATACCCTGATTCAAGTTCATTGTTGAGTTTGAATTAATACGCGGTGTGTGTTTCGTTTCCACTTTGTTCCAACGTTTGTCTGTTGAGAGGTTTTCTTCGTTTTTTGAGTTTTGAGTTTTCTTTTTGGTTGGTGGTTATTAAGTTGTTCGACTTCCTCTACTTCTTGTCTTGAGATAATCCCCCCTCTGAAGTGGGCCCCTAATCCGGTGGCTATGTGTAATCAATCCACAAATTATTAATTGCTGAGCCACCAATGTCACGTAGCGTGACGCTAGAGCGTGTTATTGTCTCGAATGGTAAGCAAATGTTGGCGGTTTGCTGGCGTTGTTTGATTTGAGTTTGACGACAATGGTCTAACGTGGTGTTGTTCTTGTGGTGACGGTTCTGCTTGGTCGTAGGTGCTAAAATTCTAAGCGTTGCCTTAGCAGGAAATGAAGTAATAACAGATGTGGGAGGAGGTGGAGGACGTGGTTCTTGGTGCAGAGCGGTTGAGTGAGGTTCTTGGTGTTGTTGTTGTTGTTTCGATTCATTAACTATAAAATGAAAACGTTGTTGTTGTTGCTCTGTGCACATATTATGATGCGTTCAAATTTGTTCCAATCGACAAAACAAAACAGACGCAAAATAATTTTTGTTGTTCTTTTGTTGGGAAATTTTGCCAAATCGAAATGTTTTCTGGCGTTTTCTGATTTCGTGTTTTGTAAATGCAACGCCGCCGAGAAGTCTCGTTGGCAATGGTGGGTTTTAGCAGCTTCTTGATATAGTCAATGCTGACGATGATGCTAATCTGGTTGATGTCTTTTCCTTTGCCAAATTTCCAATGGCCATATGCTGATGATGATGCTGCTGCTGCTCACAAATTCTCAGATTCTGCATTCGTCGGAAGAAAATGAATTTTGAAATGTTTTCTGTTTTTTTCTTTATGTTCGTTCTAGTTTTCTATTTCGTTGCAGGCACTTGCTGTTTTCACTTTTCGGTTTGTTTTCTTTTTCAAAATATTTTTTTTCAATACGTTCTTTGTTTTCAATTATTCTATAAAAATTGAAAAAAAAAATACAAGAAAATATAAATTTTGTTTTTTCTTTTATTGCGGCTCGTGTCACTTTTGTTCTTTGTTTTATTTCTGAATCGGCCACCAATGTCGAATCGATGACGTCCAAATTTATTTTTACACCATTATTAAATTTATGTTTGTTTTCGTTGTTGTTGTTTTTATGTTATGGCATTGTAAGATTTTCTTTGATTGCAATTTATTTTGTAAATATAGTCATTAAATCACTTCCTGCTCTCATATGTGTAGGTATATGAGTCCAATTAAGTAGGGCAATAGTCTTAAAATGTATATTTTTGGCAAATGTATTTAAGTGAGAAAATCTAGACATTTTGTTGCAATTGATAACATTGTTGTTAATTAGAACAATTTTTAATTAATTTTTGTGCAAAGGGAACAATGTGGAATTGAAACACTTTTTTCACTCAAGGGAAAAATTTGATGGAGACATTATATTTTTAGCTATAATAATACCCATTGATGTTAATTAGAACTTTTTTAATAAATTTTTTTCAGAGGAACAATATGTAAATGAAACATTTTCTTATTTTTGTTCTAAAGCTGATGAAGGCATTACTTTTTTTAGATTTAATAATATTTCAATTAAAAATTGTTCAAATATATGGAGGTGGAACGAAATGGAATTGAAACAGTTTTTTTTTATCGAATTTAAATAAGCAAACCCATTTTCTAAATAATATACAAAATACTACTATATTATAGCTTGAATAATTAGATCAAAATTGTTTTTGGATAAAAATGAAATGGAATTGAAACATCAGGTTTGACAAACAAAGACTAAGTCACAAATTACACAGTACGACAACATTTAATTGTTTTCAGGAGAAACTCAATAAATAAAAATAGAAGACATGTCTATGGGTTTTTTAAAACTACATTGCAAGGTAACCTCAAATTGAGGGGTGAGGTGGCAAGTTCCCCTCTTTTCCACATTTTTTTCATTTTCGGATTAAGATTCCCTGAAATCATTGTAATTTAGGTTAATAGCGTCTTCGGCAATATTACAGATAACAATATGAGGATCACACTGTAAAACATAAAACAAAATTACAGGAAAGATCCAGAGGGAACGAAATGGAATGAATTTTTTTTAATGAATCAATGAAACCGAAATAAGATAATAAAATTTTTAATGTAGAGCTAAAACTATAAGACGTGTGTATCGGCGTTTTGAAAGTTTACACTGCCAAGTAACCTAAACTGGAGGGGAGTCAAGTTCCCCCTCTCTTACACATTTTTTGAAGTGTTTATATTTAGGGTCCTCGGAATTAGGTATACCGTGTATTCGGCAGTATTACTGATAATACTGTACAACACAAAAAATAAAAATCTAGAAGGAACGAATTGGAATTGAAACATTGTTTTTTTTTTTTTAATTTAATCATCAAAGAGAACAAGTTAAAAAGCTTTGAATACCCTTTCGAACGAATTTGGAAATTTTCAAAAAAAAAATCCGTTAAAAGTTCTGTTAAAATCTTAAAAATACCGAATATAGCCATTATATTGGGGTCTATAAGACGTTGACCTACAGAGGCATTGTTTGTCATAAGCCATTATTCAAATTCGAACCTTGAAATAAACGGTGAATAATGCAGTTAAAAATCGTCAAAATGCCGTATATAGGGAGGTAACGTTATATCGGAGCAATACGAAGACCTGGACCTGCATAGACATTTTCTGTCACAGGCTGTAGCATCCATTACGAACTTCAAATACGACTTCTCAAAACTATTTACCGAATATAGGGAGGTACTGATATATGGGGCCTATACGAAGACCTGGACCTATACCTGCATAGACAATTTTCTGTCACAGACTGTAGTTCCCATTACGAACTCTAAATACGTAATTTGAAACTACTCCTGTAAATAATGTCGCTAAAATCATCAAAATACCGAAAATAGGAAGGTACCGTTATATTGGGCCTATACGGAGACGTGGACCTGCACAGACATTTTTCTGTATTAGGCTTTAGTATCCACTTCGAACTTCAAATACCAAATTTAAAGCAATTCTGGTGAATAATGTCGCTAAAATCATCGAAATACCGAATATCGAGAGGTACCGTTATATGAGGGCTATATGAAGACGGGGATCTGCACAAACAATTATCTGTCATAGACTGCCGTATCCATTACGAACTTCAAATACTAAATTTATAACAATTCTGGTGAATAATGTCGCTAAAATCATCAAAATACGGAAAATAGGAAGGTACCGTTATATTGGGGCTATACGAAGACGTGGACCCGCACAAAAAATTTTGTGTCTTAGGCTCTAATATCCATTTCGAATTTCAAATACCAAATTTGAAACAATTCTGGTGAATAATGTCGCTAAAATCATCAAAATACCGAATATCGGGAGGTACCGTTGTATGAGGGCTATATGAAAACCTACATGGCCCATTTACGAATATACCCTCCATAGTATGGAGGAGGGTGTAAAAACTTGAAAATGGTTCCTATTTTTTTGATTGTTTCTTTTTTTATTACTTTTCCTCTGACTTTTTTTTTTTTTTTTTGATTTGACGCCTGAAAGTGACATAAAAAATTGTTTTAGCTTTGGGAAAACATCATCAAAAACCATTTTTAATATTTGAAAAATGAAGCATTTTTTCCTAATTCGCTGCTACTTTTCCTATAATTTCACTATCCAATCGATAGTCCGGGTTGTGGAAAATTTAAGTAATACTCATTAGTAGATCGAGACCTTAAAGGAGTTGTGGGTTCTTAGTTTAAACTTTGTTTTAAGGTTATTTTTTATCGGTAATACAAGATTTCAAATTCCCATGTCTATTAATATTTCCCCCTCACAAAGGCCTTTGTATAGTTTTTTTTTTAATTCTCCTTCCAAAAAATCATTTTTCCATAGTATTTTTGCAATTACAACATTGCATGTTCATGTTCATTTTCATGATTTCCTTTTCAAATTAATTCACTCAATTCTTGTTTTCATTTTCTAATGATCGCGTTTCACACTTCATGTGTGTTGTAATGATTTCCAGGAAAAGTGTTTTTTTCTTTTTTTTTTTTTTTTGTTCAACATTATTTTCACCACATTACCTAGATACAACATAAGTATGTGGGAACAAATAATTGCACAAACTACACACAAAGCTCATGTTTCATTTCATTTTGTTTCCTCATTTTCACATATTCAGCAAAACAAAGGAACAACGGAAAGCAACCGACTCATCCGATTTCTTTGTAATTTTGTGGAACAAACCAAAGAGAGACATGACCACCATCAGTGTTTGTCATTAACGTAACGTTGACTTTTTTCAATTCCATTTTGTTTCTCGTTTTTTTTTTTTTTTGAGCATTTTGACAATCATTAAGGTGTTTGCATGTGTGCGTTGGTCATTGTCTGTTTGTTTTTTTATTTGTTTTGCTGACCGGTTGAGGTCACAACACATTTTTTAAGGCCATACCCTACATGTTGCAATTAGGCGAATTGTCATTTTTTACTGTGAACTAAAAGCATGCAAGGGGGTCATACAATAATTTGGGTCTGGAGAAAAATATTGAGTTGATATGCTCATTTGAAGTATTAAAATTAAACTATTATTTTAATCTGCGTCTAAACAAAAAGAATTCAAAGTACTTTGGGACGAATGAATATTGTCCGTCCGTCTGTTGTAATCACGCTACAGTCAAAACGAATTAAGATAGGAAGCTAAAATTTTGCACAGATCTGTCTTTTATCTGCAGGCAGTTCAAGTTCGAAGATGGGCTACATCGGTCCACGATACCGTATAGCCCCCATATAACGGTACCCCCGATATTCGGTATTTTAATGATTTTAGCCACATTTTCCAATGGAATTGTCTGAAAATCCACACAAGGAGTTCCTTGTGAGTACTTTTATTCCGATATCGTATAGACCCATATAACGGTACCCCCGATATTCGGTATTTTAACGATTTTAGCCACATTTTTCAATGGAATTGTTTGAAATTCCACACAAGGAGTTGCTTGTGAGTACTTTACCCCCTAAAGGAGAATTGTCTATAAAGGTCCACGATATCGTATATTCCCCATATAACGGAACCTTCCGATATTCGGTATTTTGACGATTTTAGCCACATTTTCCAATGGAATGGCCTGAAAATCCACATAATGAGTTCTTTTTGAGTACTTTATCTCCTGGAAGGTTATTATCTATATAGGTCCACGATAATGGATATCCCCCCAATATTCGGTATTTCTAATTTTTTTTTTTTAAATTTCCTAATTTGTTCCATATGATGGAGGGTATTCAAAGTTCGACCCGGCCGAACTTACTGCTTTTTTACTTGTTTTTTTTTTTTTTTTTTTTTTTAATAATTACGCGAAAAAAAACCTGCAGATTATTATAGTAGATCTAAAAAAGAATACACGTGTATCGGCGTTCTGTTTATATCGCAAAGTAACCTAAATAGAGAGGACAAGTTCCGCCCTTATCCACAATTTTAGAATTTTTCAGATTAAAATTCTTTGAAATCCGTTAGTTTTAAATGTACCTTCGGCAATATTGCAGATAAAAGTACGAACAATATTTTAACCCTCGGGCGAGTCATGTCCAATCACCAATTTATCACACATTTCCAATACCACCTACATATCTCAACCACAGACATCAACTCCGGCATCTATATCAAATTTCAGAATACCAGATCTATCCTACATCCCGACCTTACCGAGCTTAATCTTATTTTTAATTTTCAGGATACCAGCTCTATTGGTTCATCCAAATCCAAATTGTACCAAACCATTTAGTACACTTAGTAAATTTTCCTAGCTCCAAAATTCCTACTATATTGATAAACCCAAATCCAAATTGGACCAAATTTAATATCTTTTAGTACACATAAGTACGACTTTCCAAAATTACTTACATACCTCAGTCCTACAATGCAATAATAATCTTATTTCCTAATTTTAGGGTTCAAACTCTATTGGTTCTCCCAAAATTTAGATTGTACCAAATATAGTACCATAAGTAAGCATTTCCTAAACCACATACATTTCTACAATGGGATAGTATTCCTATTTCTAAATTTCAGAATTCCAGCTCTATCGAAATTGTACCAAATTTTGTACCATTTAGTACTTTTCGTTCACATTAGAACAAAATTCGAAAACTTCCTTCGTATCACAAATCCTACACTCCGTCAATAATGTTAATTCCAACTTTTAGGATTCCAGCTCTATCAGGATCAGTTCTAAGTACATATTTCGAAAACTTCGTTCATATCCTAATCCTACACTCCGCCAGTAATGTTAATTTCAAATTATAGGAATTCAGCTTCATTCGTTCCACCAAATTCAAATTGTACCAAATTTAGTACAATTTAGTATTCTTCGTATACATGAGTACACACTTCCTACAATTACCTTCTTACATCGTCTCTACTCCTGAATACGCCCCACCATTTGGAACGAATTTGGAAATTTTCAAAAAATAAAAATCCGTTAAACATTATGTTAAAATCTTAAAAATACCGAATAAAGCCGTTATATTGGAGTCTATACAACGTGGACCTACATTGTCATTGTTTGTCTCAAGTCATTGCCATATTCAAATTCGAAACTTGAAATAAACGGTGAATAAAGTAGCTAAAATCATCAAAATACCGTATATAGGGGGGTACCGTTATATCGGAGGAATACGAAGACGTGGGCCTGCACAGACAATTTTCTGTCACAGGCTGTAGCACCCACTACGAACTTCAAATACGAAATTTCAAATAATTCCGGTGAACAATGTCGCTAAAATCATCAAAATACCGAATATTGGGAGGTAATGTTATATGGGGGCCATATGAAAACGTGGACCTGCATACGAAGATGTTTTCCATAGGTTGTAGTATCCATTTAGATCTCCCAATACGAAATTTGAAACGATTCCGGTGAATAATGTTGCTGAAATCATCAAAATACCGAATATCGGGAGCTACCGTTGTATCAGGGCTATTCGAAGACTTGGACCTGAATACAAAAATGTTTGTCATAGGCTGTAGTACCCATTATGAACTTCAAATACGAAATTTGAAAAAAATTCCGGTGAATAATGACGCTAAAATCATCAAAATACCGAATACTGGGAGGTACTGTTATATGGGGGCTTTATGAAAACAAGGACCTGCATGCAAAATTGTTTGTAATAGACTGTAGTAGCAATTAGGAACTTCAAATACGACATTTGAAATAATTCCGGTAAATAATGTCGCTAAAATCTTGAAAGTACCGAATATCGGGAGGTACCGTTATATGGGGGCTATACGAAAACATGAACCGATATGGGCCATTTACGAACTTAACCTGCTGGTAAACTGCATGTATGCAAAATTTTAGCCTTCTCTATCAATTCGTTCGAAAGATTACAGACAGACGGACATCGCTAGATCGTCTTAGAATTTAAAACTGATCCAGAATATATACACTTGTAGGGTGAAAAGTTAATATACCCTCCATAATATGGTGGAGGGTATAAAAAAAGTAAAAGAGGGTGGAGCTTGCCATCTCTATTTTGGTTACACTTCGCTGTAAACTTTCAAAACGCCGATATACGCGTCTTCCATTTTTAGCTCTACTTTCATAAACTGCTTGAGTTTCCATGCAATTATTGGAAAAAAAAATTATTTTGTCGCGCAGTGTTATCAAATGATCCTGATTTTGTGGTTTTCAAAAATATATATTGTAGTATATAGTCCGGTTTTTGGAAAGGTTAGAATGTCAGCTATAACTTGGCTTATAGGTTCTGATTTCCAATTAGAGACACTACTTCGTCTCTTTGAAGTTTTTGTTAATTTCATGGTCCGAGTATTTTGCTTTAACTTTGGAGAATAAAATTACTCCATCAAAGAATCACTTGCTGGATAGTCATTCAATTTCAGGTCAAACAACAGAGACTGTCCCCCATATAAATATACTTTCCTCAATATCAAGCTAAAAATATCGGCTAACGGTAAATTTTCAGAACATTTTGAGAATTCTTACAATACTGAGATTAGCCGGTAAGTGTTGCCTTGGTGGTCAATGAGTTATAATCAGTCTATCCACTGCTCAAGAGAGTGATAAGTTGTTCCATTGTCCATTTCAATCTGGTTTGTTTGCTTTGTGTTTGTTCCTTATTTATTTATTTATTGTTTTGTTTGCAATTTTCGTTATCAAGTGCAACGATTTTCCCTTGAAATATTACCTTCAATTAATATTTACAATCCCCACTATTATTATTAAGTTTAGTTTATTTTTTTTTTTTTATTTGTTATTTTTAAACCTCATATATCAAGAGCGACGAGGATGAGTGTAAACACACATCCAATGTACACTTCGTTTTTTTTTTGTTTATGAGAATTCCAATTGGAGATTTGTTTTTAATTTGATATCTTCATTAACGTCAAGCGATAGCTGGACTGGTGTTTTGGTGTTGTTGTCGTTGGCATTTTATTGTTGATGTTTGTTTTAGTTAATTATTCAAATCGACTGGGACTTGTGTTTTGTTATTTTTTCTTTGTTGCTGTGTTTTTAAAATCAGCTGATTTCACTTACTTTCTCACCAAAACAATCGATGGAGGAGGGCGATGAGAGTTTTCAACACGTACCGTTTAGATATGTGTGTTTGTGTGTATGCATAACTGGGGGTGAGCCCAACATGGCTTTGAGACAAAAGAAAAAAAAAACTGAAACTGAACTTTGTCACTCACACAAATTAACAAAAGAGTCTCTCAGCGAGGTTGAGCCTTACAAACAAACCAACAAAAACTTAATGTCATCTCATAAACTCTAACTGTATGGGTGCGATCTGTGTGTGAGAGAGCGATTTGTTTTTTTTTTTTTTCTGTGGGTGGGTGGTAGTTTTGTTTTGGGGAATTTCAAAATTTTGTGACACTATTTCGGCAACGGAAATATGTTCAAAATTTGTTCACCAACAACACACACACGCACACACAATGGCCGCAATTTGTCCACGTCAAACGCAATGAGATTTTCTTTTAAATTTCTTGTATCTCTTTTCTTTCTTTTTTTTTTAATTTTCCGTTTTCAATACTGATCTAATGTAAGCACAAGAATTCGTATTCCCAGAATTCCGGAACACTTGACACACACACAGACACTCGATTGGTTTTTAATATTTCACTTTGTTGTCTGGCGTTTTTCTTCTTCTTTTAATTTATTCTCGATCAGTTGAAATAAACCGTTATTCTTATTTTCTTGGGTTCATTAAATGTTTGGGCAACCGACCGACGTATTTCTATCTTTCTTTCCGAATCTTTGCCGTTTTCTTTTGTAATTTCGTTGTTTCGAAGAAAATACGCGTCTTGCACTCTGGGGAACAACAAACGTTTTGTGAAGAATACGAATGAGCAACAAGCTGAAAGCGTCAAACCAAAAAACCCCAATCGATTCGCGAGTGCCCACTCACCGACAACTCAGAGCAAACGAAAAGAGCACAGCAACGCCATAATTTGTTCTCATTCCATTTTGTGCCTGCCTGACAGCGAATGCCAAACACATAACCGTAATAATAAAGCAATGAATGCAATCTCATCATGAAAACAATCTTTTTTTCTGTCTTCAATGCACCCTACACTCGCACACCCATATATACATACATACTCGTCATCGTCTTGTAATCATGCATTCATTCAATCGACCGTTTTAATCAACACCAGCAAAAGAGATAATTTGACCCAATATCTGTTTGTTTCGACTGCATGAGGAGAATAACAAAGAAATATCAAAACAAAAATAACAACAATGTAAACATAAACAATTTCGAAAAAAAGCGCCTTCGATGCCAACAAAAACATTGGAATTCACAAACACTCACACACACAGAGAGAAATAGAAATAACCGTAATTTCATAGAAAATGTTGTGGAATTGAAACACTCTCTCTCTCTTAATCTCTTTGTGGTATGGTATCATGAAGATAAAAGCGCAATGAGGTTATTTTCGACAGGGATGGGAAGTTTGAATTTTAGATAGATTACACAGTACCGATGTAGATCGGCATGTCGTGGAAAATGTAAGAACTTTCTTTGCTCTCAAAACATCTGAATGATTGACTGACAGACTTCATGATTCACAAACGAAACGGCTGAAGCAAGAATCTTGAAACTATGGGAGATGGTCATTCTTGGTCCAAAGGGGTAGACAAGGCTCCGTTTTTGGAAGTTCGTACTAGAACGAAGGTACGAAAAGTATTTAAAAGTACTAAATATGGTATGCTTTTTATTTGAGAAAGCAGTAGAACTAGAACTCTCAAATTTGGAATAAGGGTTATTGATGGAGTGTATAATAAATGAACCAAAGGGTTTTTAGAAATAAACACTATAATTGTATGAAAAGTACTGAAATGGTACAATTTCGTAACATGCAAACGATTAGAGCTAAAAACTTGAAATTTCGAATGGAAATCAAGGTTGAGGATTAGAGTCGATGCAAGGAGGTAATTTTGGAAGTGTGAACTCATGTATAGGAAAAGTACTAAATGATACTAAATTTGGTACAATTTGAATTTGGAGGAACGGATGGAGCTGGAATCCTGAAATTTGAAATTGACATTACTGGCAGAGTGTAGAATTGGGATATGGAGGAAGTTTTCGAAGCACATACTTATGTGCACGAAAAGTACAAAATGGTACTTTATTTGGTACAATTTCGATTTAGGTGAACCGATAGAGCTGGAATTCCGAGATTTTGAAATTAAGCTTTACTATTGCATTCTAGGACTGAGGAAAGTAGGTAGTTTTGGAAATTCGTACTTTGCGTGCTAAATGGTACTAAATTTGGTACAATATAAATTTTTTGATAACTAATATAGTTGGTATCCTGAAATTTCAAATTAATATTACTGGCGGTGTGTAGGATTGGGATGTGGAGGAAGTTTTCTAAATTTGAACTTATGTGCACAAAAAGTACTAAATAGTACTAAATTTTGTACAATTTCGATTTGGGTGAACCGATAAAGCTGGCATTCTGAAATTTAGAAATAAGATTACTATGGCACTATATGACTGAGGAATGTAGGATGTTTTGGAAACTCGTACTTATGGTACTGAATTTGGTACAATTTAAATTTTGGGAGAACCAATAGAGTTGGCATCCTGAAATTTGAAATTAACATTACTGGCGGCGTGAAGGATTGGAATATGGGGAAAGTTTTCAAAATTTGTACTTATGTGCACGAAAATTTGGTAGAACTCGGATTTGGGTGTACCCATAGCTGGTATCCTGACAATTGGAATAAGATTCCTGTCAGACTGTAGGATTGGGATATGTAAGTAGCTATGGAATTTGTACTTATCTACATTTGATGCAATTTGTATTTAGGCGAATCGATATGGATAGAATCCTGAAATGTCTTGAAAATTTGGAGTACAGGATTGGGATATGTAGAAAGGTATGTGTACCAAATTTGGTACAATTTGGGATTGGGTGAAGAGATAGATAGTAGTAAATCTGAAACTTGATTTAGGGTCGTTGTTTATGTGCAGCCGGGACATATGAAGGCGGTACTATAATTGTACAAAGTACTGAATAGTACTAAATTTGGTACTGGGTGAAGGAATAGAGCTGAAAACCTGAAATTTGATATTGAGGTGACTGTTAGTATCTAGGATTCATATATTAAAGTGGTTTTGCAAATGGGTACTATAATTTTACGTAAAACGCTGAATGGTACATAAGTTGGTATTGGGTGAAAATTATATTTTTGGAAGGTATCAAAAAACCTCTCGCGACCTTAGAACCGATCTTATTCCATAGTCAGCATGTCTGTTATACTGGCTTTGAAGATTGAAAAGATTTTACTTTAAAAATAAACTTTTTAGTAGATAAACGCTCCAAAATTATCAATATTATTTTTTAAATGAATAATATTTTACTTTTCTTATAATTTTTTTTATATCTATCTATTTATTTATTTATTTATTTTATTTTATTATTACTTTTTTTTTTTTTGATAAATTTGCGGTTAGTTTTGATGTTAAAAAGGAATTTTTTCCAGCCACGTACCGGCATTTCTTATTATTTTTCCAGACCTTCCTGATAAATGTTTTATTAAATAAACTGTCGGCAAAATATTCAATGTTGAAATTAAAAGTGAAATCAGGGGGAAATCTCGCATTCAATTTTTATAATAAAATAATTTTTAAGTTTCCACAGAAATTTTCAATTTAATTATGCTAAAATTGATGTATTAAATCTTATTTCGATCCAAATATTTTTGATAATGAGTAAAAGAATTGGGTCACAGCCTTTTCTATTCCCTACACACTTCTTTGCTACTCCAAGTAGGACGGCTGATTTTCTTTGACCATTGCAATTGCAAAAACATACAACCGCCTTGTCTTCATTAATGTTCTAACCATATTCTCTCACTCCATCGAATTATATTTCAAATTCTCATTTCCCCCTAATGTTTTTCCCCCCATTTCCTAATGCAGCACCTCTTGCTGTTCTCTCTCATTTAAATGTCTCTCTTAAAGGGCCAAGTCTCCTTGTGATCTTTTTAATTGCAGTTTGCAAATGCAGTTAGATTTTTCCTCTCCCGAAAAAATTTCTCCCCCTGAATTACTACTCAGAGTAAAAAGAGCATAAACCTCTATAATTTTGCTCAAGAAAAATAACAACCAAATTGGGAGTTAGTTTTTGCTGGGCTATTAATTCGTTCGCAAGTTTTTGGAAGGGCTCCATACAATTTGGAAAAAAATAATTAAAAATATTTTACAATATTTATTTAGCTTATAAATGCAACTTATGTATGTGTAAACTATTATGTTGTTAAATTGCAAATGAAGTGAAATAGTCAAGTTTGTGAAAAAGCATGTCAAGGCATGTCAAGCATTAAAAGGCAAAATGCTGGTGTTTTTTTGGATCAGTGTTGTTGAGAAGGAAAAGAAGTGGGGAAGCCAAATCTCAGTTTGAAACAAAACAAAACCAATTTTGCTTAGTGATGAAATAGTTGAAGAAGTGTGTAAAAAATCGAAATCACAGAAAATATAATTTTTCTGATTTTCGTTCGTGCATGGAGACTCGGTTAACGCGAGTGTTTGTTTACTTCGTTCGTTCTCGGCTATTAAGGGTAAGTTTTTCATATGTATGACTTGTTTACATGTATCATAAATATTTTTTTATTAAATATAATTTTAAGAAGCAAAATTGTCTTAGAATTTTTTATATGTATTTGATACCTGGCTATATTTGTGTAGTTAAATTTTCTTAGCTTAACTCCAGTTAGGTAAGAAAAGAATTTTTTTTTTTGAAAAAATTTCCAGAGATAGTTTTGTGTCCCCTGAGTCCAGGGATATATTTTTTTCTTAGGGATAATTGAGCCGAAAGGGACAACAACAAGTTGTAATGAATTAAGAAGTTTAATTAAAGTTATCGAATTTTTTTGTGTCCTGATTTAAAAAAAAAAAATGGCCCAATTTGGGAGTCCTCAAAATATACGCCAAATTATAGTTAACACTATAACCTTTCCAAATTTCTTCTATATGTTGTATTATACAACAACAAAGTCAAAAGCCATAATTTTTACATTTTTTTAATTTAATTAAATGAAAGCAAAAATGTCGGAAGAAGCATCAAATTTTAGAATAAGTTTAGGTTTGTTCGAATTGGTACAAATTATGGCCTTCAAACGGCCAATGAAACCGTCTCATGCTGGCCGAATGTTGCTCTGCGAAGCGCTTGTTTGAGGTGATTGACATTTTGGTATTTCTTAGTGCCAACCTTGCTTTCCAAAATACTATAGACACATTAGTCCAACAGATTGGTATCCGGAGATTTGGGTGACCATTGTGCGCTGGAAATAAAGCGAGGAATCTCATTTTGTAATCATTCTTGGGTGGCGCGTGCTGAGTGCGATGGTGCTGAGTCCTGCTGGAATGTACAAGGTCTGCGGCCAAAATTTTTGGGTGCCCAAGGCTATAATACACCCTCCAGAATATTTTCGCGAAAATATTCGGCATTTATTCTGATGCCACGGTCGATTACTACGAGCGAAGAGCCACCATCGGCTGTTATGGCGGCCCACACCATCACCACGGCCGGCGCTTGAGTTCTGTTGGCCAACCGAAGGTGCACATTTCAGCTGACCTCTTTTCGCATTTTAGTAAAGAACGCATTTTCAAATCAATGTCAAATCTCAGACACATATGTCACACTGATCTAAATATCAAATTTCAGAATTTTATCTCTATATCTTCACCCAATACCAAAATATAGTACCATTCAGAATTTTTCGTACAATTTTAGTCCATACTTCCAAAACAACTTCCATATGTCCAGGCGTCATAAAAACAGGGACCCTAATACAAATTTCACGCTTCAAGCACTATATGTTCATCCGATACCAAATAGTACTATTTAGCAGATTTCGTGCCCTACATCTTTTTCACAAACTTATAACGTACAAGGAC